AGGGGCTGGTGGAAGGGTCCCTGCAAAGCTCCCACCGGGTCCCACATGGCGGTTGCTTCTGGCGGCGTCTCCCCGGCCCTGGGCTCGGCGGCCCGGCCGCGGCCTGTTCCTTCTCCACCCTCCGCCTGCTCCCTGTGTGACCGACACCCTCCGGGGTCGGCCAAGGCACCCGGCGGTCAGGCCCTGCCCGGCTGGGCTCCCCACACAGCTCTCCCGAAGGAGGCGTTTTCCCTCAGCCGCCTCCTTCGCAGCCCTTCTTCAGCCCGGGGGGGGGGGTCTCTCTGTCCCTCCCTGCGGCCTAAAATCACCCTCGGGTGTCGGTGTCCCCGCTCAGTGGGGTGTCGGTGGCAGCGGGGCGGTGGGTGAGCTTGACCCGAGCCTCACCTGCAGAGCCGTGTTGGAGGCGGTGTGTCCTTGGCCTGTCTCTACGCCCTCCCTGGGGGTTTCATGCCTCTGTCCCCCCCACGGCACCGGCTGGGCCTGCGGCTCGGGATGTCTTTGTCGGGTCTGCAGGGAAGTAGGAATCGGGGCCCCAGCGTGTGTGTATGTGTGTGTACACACAGCTCCTGCTTGGAGTAAACTCTGTGGTGGAATTCTCACCGACGGAGACATTTCAGCTGCCCAAGAAGCTCCTTTTCATTCAGGCTCTGAAAAATGTCATCGCACAGTGTTTGAGAAGTCCGGGGGTGGTTATTCAGCCCCCTTGCTCTCCCTGAGCACCACAGTGAGCAAGTGTGTGAAGGCTGGCACACTTAGTGGCAGTGTTCCAGAGCAGCATTGTTAAACTGGAGTTTTTTGCCTGTGAGCTCTCATAAAGCTGATGTTTGGCCATTCGGTTGCCTTCCTTCTATTTATGCAGATGACCATGCTGATCTGTCTTTTCAGACAGGCCTGAGAGGGGCCCTTCAGAGCTACAGCTGGAAAATGCTGCTGAAATCCAGGAGTTCTCTGCCTGTCTCCCTGCCTGAAAGAAAAAGCAGCATGTAAGTATTGCATCTAAAATAATCCTCCGTGACAAGGACTATAATTTTCTATAACAATTTGATTTTACTTTGTGTCAGCGTCACATGAAGTAATTTTTAAATCTCACAAATGTTTAAATGTTTGTTTTGGCCTATTTTTGTTTTATTAATTACTAACTGAAAACCTACAGGTGTGCAGCCATCTGTTTTGGGAGATATGTTATACATACAGTGTATAAAATCTCTTTGTTATTAATCAAGTATAAAGTCTCCAAAGAAACATGAGTTTTAGCTTTTTTTTTTTTTCATTTCCTGATGCAGAATTCGTTTTTCCCCTATTTCAGCTGACATGAAATATCAGTACTAGTTTCATGACACTCAGCTTTCACCGTTTAGGTTCACCGTGAGGAGACTTTGCAGCACTTCGCACTCATCAGTGGATTCAAAGGAAATGAAGAAATTCCAGCTCCTCGCACATAAGTGGTGGGATGAAGAAGGAGAATTCTCAGCCCTTCATTCTATGAATGATATTAGAGTGCCATTTATCAGGTGTGGTTTTGAGGACAGAATTTTTTTTTTTCCTATGTACTATTTTTGCATTACCTCCGAAAACACTGTAAAAGACAAAACACCAGTCCTTAAGGTAACTGCATCTAGTAAACCACCTTGTGTGTGTGCCCTGAATCACATCCCTTTTCTTTCAGAGATTCTCTGTTGAACATGAGTAGTGATTACCATCTGGGAAATCCACTTGCTGGAGTAAAGATTCTCGATGTTGGCTGTGGCGGGGGACTGCTAAGTGAGGTAAGAAGCAGTGTGCTCCTGTTTCTCTTGTTAAAAAGCTTCCAAAGTATTTGAATTGTTTTACTGTTGCACAGCTTAATTTCTAATCCTTCAAGGATTTTGTCTCCTATGATATATTAGTTGCTGAATGTTTTGGAGTCATTTACAGAAAAGGAGGGAGTCGGTAATGAGAAATTCTAAAATTCTGAGGTTCATCAGAAAAATAAGATTTCAAACACTCTAAAGGAGAGGGGAAAATTGATGTAAAAGTCTTTGAATATTCCTCTTGGCAGTTGTAGTATGACAACTTTTTTTGGGTCTTTTTTTATTTTAGAGCCTAGGCAAGAATACTTCAATCATGACAATCCTTGTTACCAAAGAAGTGTTTTTGTTTCTATTACAAACTCATTCTTACATGTTCATTTCTTTGAATTGCTTATCTTCTGTTTTTTATGTTGGGTGTGGGGATTCTTGCTGTTGCTTTGATCTCATGGGACAAGCGTGGAATAACGTCAAACACCTGAGATATCCCTCCTCACTGTCAGGAGAGCTTCTCCTGGTACAGGGGCTGATATTAGAGCTGCTTCCTGGGGAGTCTGCTCTAACTTGGGGCTGAGAAGTGACTATTTTTGGTGGAACCCCTTGGCCTTACAGGCTCTGAACGGTGCTGTATCCTCTATCAATAGACTGGGGATGGTTTGTGAATTTAGGATTACAGATCTGGCTGAGTTATTCCGGGAACTTCACCAGCATCTGAAACAAGGTGTAGTTTCAGATGCTTCTCCTTGTGTTTTCTTTTCTTTTTTTTTTTTTCTTTTTTTTTTTTTTTTTTTTTTTTTTTTCTTTTTTTTTTTCTTTCTTTTATTCTGAGCAAAATCCTCAAAATCCTGTAGTCTTGTGAGAGCCCACTCTCTGACAAGGCTGGCAAAACCAGTGTGCTGCATCACCTCCTCAGGCTGAACAACAGGAGAATTTCAGGTTGGAATAACATACATGTGGTCATGTTCTGCAGCCTGTTTCAGTTTCAGAAGAGGTGATGGCTGAGGTGTTAACCTGTGAGTAAGAAGACACTGGAGAAACTTGAGTGACAGCCAAGCCTGATGCTATCCTAGTAAACATCAGTGTTTAGTTCTCAACAGTGAGAAAGTCCTAGAGATAATAATATATTAAGTAACCATTAAAAAGATATGAGGATTTACCATTACAGGTGGATGTTGAAGAAAGTAATGACAGTAATTAAATACAGCATTGTTTTCCCCCCTTTAAATACTGTGTTGATTTTCCCCCTTTGTTTTTCCTCTCTCAGAGGGTAATAGTGGGGGAAATCTTTATTTGGTGTAACAAAATGGATTCAGAACAATTTATTCTAAAAGGAAATTTAAATGTGTATATTCCGGTGTACAATTTTCAAAGAAAATTAACACCACCTCCCCCAAATCTAAGGAATTTCTTGCTTTAACAAACATTTAAAATAAAACTGCTGGAACAGAGCTCATCATTTATTGTTGTTTGCCTTATTCTCTGGTAGGTGTTTTACGCATCGTGTATGTACATTGTGGAGCTGCAAGAAGCCTTTAAGCAAATTGTTTTCATGCAGAGAATAAATTATCCTCTTGTTTTATTAGCCTCTGGGTAGACTGGGAGCTTCAGTTACTGGAATTGATCCTCTGGAGGACAACATTAGAACAGCAGATCAGCACAAGTCATTTGATCCGGTCCTGGCCAAGAGGATACAGTACAAGTCCAGTTCACTGGAGGAGATTGTGGAAGAGTTCATGGAAACCTTTGATGTAATCGTAGCTTCTGAAGTAGTGGAGCATGTGGCTGACCTTGAAACGTTTATCAAGTGTTGCTCTCAGGTGTTAAAGGTAAGAGAGTTTTTGCTTTCATTATTGGGAATATTTATTCTCTTTTATCATTAAGGCTTTCATTTGAAGGCACATGAAAACACCTGAATCTGCATTCAATCCTCCACCTTTAAGTGCTTGATACCTGAATTGGCATCCAGAGGTGCCTTCCTTTCTCCTCCATGTTGGAAGTACATCTTCCCAACTTCAGTAACTAAAATTAGAGGAAATTTATTTCCCCAGCCCTGCCTTTGCAGAGTGTTAATGCCATTACCTAGCACTGCAGGTTTGCTTTGCATCAAGACCTTAAGAAATCTGATTGCGTCTGGTTTCACTTAGGTGAGAGGGAACATGGCAGTGCTGCTGCTGGTGGATGGCTGTGGCTCAGGCTGCGCTGAAACTCACTGTAATGATGTTTCTGACTCACAAGATTCTAGGCCAGCTCTAGCATCACATGAGATGTGCTCCTGCATTGCTTTTAAAGGACATAATTTGGTGTTATTTTATTCCTCTTGATAATATTTCATTTGTAAGGAAGAATGATAGACCCAGTGCATAAGCAGCAGCTTTCCTTTAATCTCTTGATTTATCTTTCTGGTCATCAGAAGGAATATAGATTATGTGAATGAAAAGCTCAACTAATTTTTATCCTGCTGGGGATGAGAAGTTATCCATTATTTCTACCAAACAGTCTCTTAAGTACTTAGAATTGATTTCTGGCCTTGTTTTTTGACCCTGTGATGATGAAATCAATCATGGCATTCAGCAGTCTCAAAAATTAAGCAGTCTTGCACATTTTACTTTGGTTTTAGTTTTAAAAAGTGTTTCTTTTTACAATAGGTAATTACACCTTAATGTCTTATAATGTAACATTGCTGAGAAAATAAAAGTGACTGTTAGACTTTTGGGGGGAGGGACAAGGAAGTGATTATTAGATCATCCAAGACTTTGATTATGCTGACTCTTTGAGGACTACTCAGTTATACTGTTAGAACATTATACCATTTAAATCCAATAAAAAATATACTTGTAAATAGCTACCCTGGGATGAAATTAGTTCTTACTCTTGCAGCACATAGACTTGTAGATAGTTTAATGTGATTAAAGTTACCATTTTTAGAAAAAATTTAAATATTCTTCTAATTGAACTTTTTAATGTTTTAATTAGCCTGAAGGTTCTTTATTCATTACTACAATCAATAAAACACAGTTGTCCTATGTCCTGGGAATTGTGGTTGCAGAAAAGATACTGGGCATTGTACCGGAAGGAACACACGAGTGGGAGAAGTTTGTTCCCCCCGAGGAGCTGGAGCGCCTCCTGGAAGCAAGTAAGTTCCATGGGAATGGAGAGGGGTGTCCAGATGCTCCCTGTAGAAATGGCAAGAGGTGGAGTGAGGGCTGGGAACAACACACAGCTTCTCCTGTGGGAGTTACCAGTCATATGTTATGAGCATCATTTCTGGTTTAAAGACGTTGCTGCTTGGAAGAGTTCTGCCCGTTGCCCTCTTCCCCTGCAGATGTTTTAAAACCCTCTCACCGAATATTTCACTTTGCTTTAGTTTACTCTAAAGAAGATGAAGTATGAGTTGAGCTATTCTCTTGGCAAGGTCTTCTGGCACTTTGAAGTGATGCCATAAGGAACATGACTAACACTGTGTCATGGTTTAACCCCAGCTGGCAACTGGGACCACGCAGCCGTTCACTCACACTCCTCCCTAGTAGGACAGGGAGAAGAGAGAGAAAAAGGGAAAAAAAAAAACCAAACAAAAAACAACCAACCAAAAAACGCCTTGGGTTGGGATAAAACCAGTTTAATAGCAAGTAACAGATGAGAAAATGTGAGTTACCACTCATGAGTATCATTTCTGGTTTAAAGATGCTGCTGCTTACTGGATTTTGCAAAAAATAAATAGAGTCCTAAGAATGCAGAGATTGCTCAAACAAAATCACCATTACAGCTGCTCTCTGTTTGACGGCATAAATGAAGAACACCAAGGTTTTCCATCCCGTTCTGGTGACAGAATGTTTGCTCTGAGGAGGTTCATATGCTGTAGGTCAGGTTTGAGACAATAACTGCATTGGCCCTCCAGAACTGCGCTGCTGCATTGTTTGCCATCTTCAGTACTCAATAATGGTACAAGAATATACAAGATCAGTGATGCAGTACAATTGCTCACCACTCGATGATTGATCAACCAGCTTGTCCTGGGCAGCAATCACAGATCCCTGGCCAACTCCCATTTATATACTGAGCCTGATGTCTATGGTATGGAATATTCCTTTGGCCAGTTTGTCCTATCTATGCTCCCTCTCAGCTTCTATGGGAAGCTGAAGAAGTCCCAGGCTTAGTATAAGCATTATTTGACAACAGTTGAACCATATGTGTTATCAACATTATCCTCATACCAAATCCAAAACACAGCAGCAACTCAGAAGGAAATTAATTCGGTCCCAGCTGAAACCAGGACATACCAGTTCATCTGCTGGTGGTTCTTTCCGTTCTCCCTTCAAACAGAGAAGCAGGTGCAGTGGAGTGATTCGTTTCCACAGGGTGTGTGTTTTCTGCCTTCCCTGGTGCATCCTGCTGGGCCACAGCAGAGCCAGGCAGGGAGTGCTAAATCCCTCTGCTCACACCGAGTCCTTGCTGGCATTCTTCTGCCTCGTATTTTCCATTCCTAAGGGGAATCTGCAGAATCCCTCCACAGACATGCTCAGGTTTTGATTCTGAAGTGTGTGATGTCGATCTGAAGGATGTCTCCCCCTACAGAAGACGTTACCAGTCACCCAGATGTGGTGTGAAGCTGGGGTTTCTCACGTGCTGCCTTGAGGTGGCTCACCACAAAGCACGCTCATGGTGCGTGGCCTGGCACAGAGCTCTTGCTGCCACTGCCACTGTCACCGGTGATGCCCACTGTCACCGCTTGTGGTGGTGCCTGACGGGGGCCAGCTTGTGAAGCTCCCCAGCTCGGAGGAAGAAGGCTGGCTGTTCTCAAGGGTTTGGTGGTGCAGCGACTTAGAACATTTAAGAACATCTGTTTGCTTTACGGCTTCTTTCTTTTCCAGATGGCTTTTCAGTCAAGGCTGTGAACGGGATGTTGTACAACCCCCTCTCGGGGTCGTGGAGCTGGATGGAAAGCACGAGTGTCAACTATGCATTGCACGCTGTGAAATCTGGGGCTCAGGGGGAGTCCAGCCCCACGGACACCCCGTCAGAGATGGAAGGTGAACAGCCCTCAGCCACTGCTGCCCCGTGACTGTCTGAGCTGGGTGGTGACAGGCTGCCACCAGGAACAAAAGAGAAGGTTTTACCCAGATGGACATAATAAAACCTTTTTTAACAACAAGCTTGCTCTTTGCATTAATAATGCTTATGCTGTTTTTGGCCAAATATTTTAGGGCAGTCTCAGAAGAAAACAAGTGCCCTTGATCTCAGGAATCATGTAAGATTGAAATGAGCAAAGCTTTGAAAGAGTTAAGTATTCTTGTAAAAACAGTAGTTTCAAATTGTTGGACAGGGAAATGCAAATTATTCTGTCAGTAGCTTGGAGGAAGCTCTTGAACGTGATGGCATTTTCAGTCCTAAGAAGAAAATTCAGATCTCTACAGAATAATAGCTTAAAGGTAAAATGAGTTTAAAAACCACAGTAGTGTATGATAAATAAAATGCCTTAGATATTTAAGTTACTGAACCAAGTCAGTTAAAATATACAAAACACTTAAAAACCACAAACACTTGTTTCTATGTTGTGCCTTCTCCCTGAGAGGAGGAAAAAAAATAAATAAATAGAGAGCAGCAAACTTTTTCTGCCGGGTCATGCTGTTCCTACAGTTGACAAGAGCTGACTCTGCAGGGGGCAAAGAAGAGTCTCCTCGACCAGAGCACCTCAGCTGTCAGAAGTCTGTTCACCAAAAAAGGTACCTCTATTTGTGCCTGTTATTTCAGCTTTCTCTCTCTACCCATATAAAGGGAAGTAAAGTTGCAGGTAAAATTTTACTAAGCAACCAGAGCTTTATGCTATTAAAAGTGTACGTCAGCAGTCTGTCCTAGAGTTGAAGTGCCTACTCAGGCTTAAGTCCTAGTGGTGCCAGGTTAAAGAAAAGGGTTGATCTGCAATGAAATGGGACTTTCTAAATAAAATGTCTTGTGTGTATCCCTGGTTGTATCTCTTTCCTTCTCGTCTCTTCCTCTCAGCTTGTATGCTGGTGGGGTGGGGTTTGCTGCTATTGCATTTTTCCTGCTGTAGAGGTTTGGTGGGCTAAATGATTGTATTCCACACTTGCATTCTTGCTGCTTTGCTGCATCTGCATGATGCCTTGGGATCCAAGTTTCATGAGGGATCTGGCAATGCATGAAAGAATATAGTTAATTTATAATGGCAATAATAATAATTTGTAAGTATTAAGACTGAAAAGGGTTACCTAGTGTGATCATTTCCACGACAGTAAATTCTGCTTTATAATACCTGTTTGGGCTGTAGCTTGGCTTTGGGAAGAAGATTCCTATGTAAAGAGTTGAGTGATGGAGAAGCCACTATGTCAATAAGTAAATTGTTCCAAATGTTCATCAGTTGAAGTGGTCTAACCTCAGGTCCCAGCCACCGATGTCTTAACATCCTCATTTTCTAGGTTAAGGACCTCCCTGCTATCGGCATTCTCTGTCATGTAAGCGTGGTTGGTGTAGTTTTGAGTCAACTCACCCCTAAATTTTCTCTTAGATAAATGGACAGAGATTATCTCTACAGCTGTTCAATGCTACCGTGCAAGTTTCTGAGTCTATAGAATTTTGTGGTAAACATCCTTTTGGAAGCAGGAGGGTGGAAGTGGATGCAGCATTTCAGGAATGGTCTCGCTGATGCTGTTGGCAGGGTGAACACTGTCACTCTGCCTCTGCCTGATGTCCTTTTGCACAGGCGTCTGCTCCGTGGGTCACGCTGGCAAAGCAGTGCCTGGTGTTGGGGAGAGGAGTGACACGGGGAAAAGCACAGAGCCAGAGCAGACAGCCAGCAGGCTTTATTCCTTGCAGTGTCTTCAGGTGTGTGAGGGAGTTCCCCGAGCCAAGAAACCCACTTCAAGTTATTTACAGCTGTGTGACTGACTCTTTCAAATTTCACCAACAGTGAACTGAAAGAAACAGTCTCTGAAAAGCACTGAGACCAGGGCAGATTCCTAGGGTAGACCACTAGAAAAGGGGAACAGTCCCCCATTCACCTGTTTCCTAAATCCAGATGTTTGTGTAACCAGCTGTTACCCTGCCTTTCTCATCCTTTCCTTTCTTCCTGCTTGCTTCTTGGTTGCTTGTAGTTTTTCACTAAACTGTGAGCTGCCTGGGGAAGGAAATGGTTGTGTTTCACTGCTATTTCTATTGCACTTAGCACAAAAAAGCCTTTGATGCTGCTTGGCTTCCCCATCCAGGCTCTCCAGAGGGCTTGCCTACCGAGTTAACAATGGCTGGCAGTTAAGCAACGAGCACGTGGACCTGGTTGTCCATGGATACCACTGTTTTTGACAAAAACCTTATCACAAGCACCTGACCTGCTGCTCCTACACGTGTACAGGAGCCCCGTCAACCTGGGAGAGTTGAGTGAGTGGTGTGGGGACTGCTTGAACACAGGTCCTTGTACCCATGGCATGTCTCCAGATGTCCCGATGTGCTCCATCCTCAGTCTCTAGCCCTCAGTTTTCCTCTCCTGCTGGAGTATCCTAACTATTCTGGCTGTATTTCATGCCTCTGGTTAAAACAACCTATTTTTAAGCTAGAAGGTAAATGATTGCGCTAGAGGTAATTTCAGTGAGAGAACAAACAGTGCAAGAATATCCTACACCTTGCTTTTTGCTTTGCTTGTTTGGTTTTTTAAAATCCTTGCATTATTCATAAATGTGCATCTCTGGCACAACGTAATCAAATTCAGCACCGTGCGCTGAATACATAATACATATTCATGCTGCAGAAACTTTTTTTCTTAAAATCTGTGCACAGGAAACCAATCAGGATTTCACACTTCTCTTAGCCCAGTTGCTGTGGGAATTTAACAGGTGCTACTGAAATGGATAGAATTAAAGTCAAATAAATGTGCAAATCTTTGCTTTTCCTGTTGCAAGTTGTTCATGAGTATGGAGCCGTAGCTTCAAGGCTTACAGGAACAGTAGTGGTAGGAGGTAAAAAAAGTAATGTTATAGTACCAGGCACGCAGCTGGGACTAGGGGTGAGGCAAGAGGTGATTTCTGCCTTGAGATGGAGAATAAGTAATCTTTGGAGCTTACTGTTTTTCAGCCTCGGTGTTTATTTCCGGTTGTGGGCCCTCGACTCTCCTGTTCCCAGCCATTTGTTTCTGCAACGCGACAAATCAGAGTTTGGAGCTGATCTGGCCAAAAAAAATCCAAGAGAGCAAATGATGGTGTTCTGGGTGGTCTCAGCTGTTTCTCAGCTCTCTTGTGGCTTGTCGTGTTGTCTCATCTCTCCTCCGCTGCTCCACACGGTCCCAGTCCCAGCCCTTTGCTGAGACTGATGCTTGTCCAAGTTGTAAATCTTTTTTTCTTTTCTTGAGATTTCACTCAATCCCACTGGAGTCGTATGAGAGCCTCAGTGGAGATTTGCATTTAATTTCCTTTTTAAATACAAACAGAACTTGAAGTTTCCATGATGTCCTGTCAGGCTATCTCATTGCCCAGTGTCCTCTGGAGGTCAAATGATATTTTTTGGCCATACATTTTCTTTACATACGTTTCCACAAAACACCCTGTGTCAGGTTTGTAGGGAATGGAAAAAAAGGAGGGAGAAAGCAGCGGGAAAGGAAACGTGTAGTGGCTGTGAGTAGGGGTAAGAATAAAGACTGTCTTGTAGAAAGTTTTTCTGAAAATGGCTTACAGAGTTCTTTTATTATGTTGAATCTCAGCTTTGATTAAAAAAAAAAAAGCAGCGTATTTTAGACACACTTCTAAGAAAAGCTTGAAAGGAGTAATCACATACAGTCTAGAGGTTCAGAAGCCAAAAGGCGTCGCTTCTGTAATTAGCCAGCCTGATGAAGCAGTCAGAACAGGAATCATCATGTGAGTGTTTTGATGCTGTGGTTGCAGGTGAGAGGCACCAGGATGGGGGAGAGCGTTGAAATTATAGAAGGAAGAAGAGCGATACCTGGAAGATAAATGTGATTCCAGTGGAGATGCCAACAGGTAGGAACAACTGTATCCTAAAATTGCAACACTCTTGATTTCATTCGATGTTTATTTAATAAAATGACTAATGTTAACTTCTTAAGGGGAAAAAGTGTGGAAGCCTGAATGCATAATTTCTCTTCCTCATCACCTCCCCTTTGAAGTCCTCAAACTGCCTCCGCCAGGCCTGGCTGAGCCCAGGAGGGAGCAGTAACACTCAGTGTCTACCATTATCCTCCAGTACCTCTAAAGCAGACTTTCTGGTCTATTGGGCTCTGTCCTGTCTCAGAATTACTTTCTGTTTTTACAACTCAGGGTGAATTTCGTTGCATTGTCTCCTGCTTCATGATGAGTGATTGAAAAATAGTTCTTCTTTAGGTAATGCCTTGTCTTGCCATCATAACCATGTATTTTTCCCAGCCCCTTCTCCAATGGGAAGTAGAACACTGCTTTTATAACCCTTTCAAAAAATTAATTGACTCTGCTTATACTGCACAGTACTATAAATTTGAATAATTATATCTATTTAAATACATATTTTCATATAAATATTACACTATCACAAATACATTTCCAGATGATGTTTTTGTGATAAAAATGAGCCTGTCTTTCCCCTGGTTCCTCCAGGTTATAGGAAAAAATTCCAATCATTGAATGTTTCTGCTAACAGTAGATTTTATTTTTATTGACACACATTCAATTTTCTTGAAGCAATATAAAATGATGTCATGTTTTATTCTAGCCAGAAGGGCTGTGACTTCACCTAGGATGTAAAATCACCTGACCTGTCCTGACTTACACTCGCATTAATTGCACAGCCACCTCTCAGTGCATTACGAATTCAGGATATATACTTTGATCTGCATTTTATTGTGCTTTTATTCCCAAATGGAGTCACTCCAGAGATATAATCGATACTTTTTCTAAAAAATGAAATTGTTTTCTGCTTAAAAGGATTGTGAAGACCATTAGTGTTCCATTAATAAATCTGAAACTCCTTTTGTATCTTCATGAGATGTGTTATCTTAAAAAAAAAAACAAACACCCAACCCTGAAACAACTTGGAGATTAAACTGCTAATATTGCCTTGTACAGTAGTTGTAATATAAAAACTTGCAATAATAGAAGATATAGAAAAAAATCTGGTGTTTATTTTCCTGAATTAGAATAAGCATGGACAACCTGTACAATCTGTAGTGGTCTGTAGCTGGTTCCCAATGCTATTCTGCTATGGAGCAAGTTTTCCATAAAAGATCTGACAATAAAAGTGTGTAACCCACCCCCATGACGTTATGAGGGCTGTCAGTCATCCACAGCTCGTAATAAAATAAAAACATCTGAAGGATTGTGAGACTGTAGGTCTGTCTTTTTCTGTTTATCTGGCTCTGTATTAATAACTTATGGATGTGATGACTCTGCAGCGAGCTGCCAGCCAGAGTGTTTCCACCTGCAGAAAGCAGGAGGTTTCATGCAAAGCCATTTTCATGGGTGAAAGCAAGGAATGCTGAGTTATTTACATAATTTGGGGCAGTCTCAGGGTATGTGTTACCTCAGAAAGTGGCTTTGTTTACCAGAAAGTGTAAGGTAAACTCTGGGGAACTGCTGGAATTGCACTTAATTTGGACTTGGATATAGGTACTTCTGTATAGCACAGAAGTAGTTTGGTCTCTGGATGTTCTGCATTTCCTACATATTTGGGCATTTGTATGTCAGTAAAGTTATCGTTAACCCCTTTTCTAAATCCAAATCGAAATGCATCAGGACCATTTTGCAGCTTTACACTGCCTATTTTTATCTGAATAATTAAAAAGACGTGTATATGAAACTCAAGCTGCCTGGAGAGATCATAAATATTACAGCAACACCGATCCTGGCAGCAGCCAGTGATTATTTCAGAAGGATCTTGGAGAGCCTGCTGGCGATGAAAAAGCCTTTTTTCACCCTCTCATAAACTCATCCCTCACCACAAAACCCTATTAAACGGTGTCTTCTGCAGACAAGGCCTCAGTGAGTTTGGGCTATTTGAAAGAGAAGGAAAGCATTTCTGTACCACCACAGGATGACCTGCCAGTGCAGGAATCGAGAACCCTACCTGAGCAGGGATGTCACTGGCTGGGGACAACCGGTCATCACGCGTGGGAACGGTGAGGTGCTTTCACTTCAGGCAGAGCAACCTGTAAAAACAACCCAAACTGATTAATGGAGCTGTTAAAAGCTCTGCGTTGCCAAAACTCTGGCTGCTTGAAAGAGAGAGAAGTAGCAAGTAGAAGCCATGGGTGATACCAGAGTGGGAGACGAGCAGAAAATGGGTGGCTCTAATTCTTGAAGCCCCCGGGGAGATGTGGCGAGTGACTCTTTGCTGTTCAAAGCCAGGTAGCAGCAGTACAGGAAAGCAAAACTCAGGGCAATGCATTCAGCATGTGCCCTCATTTGTAAAATGTTGAGTTAGTTCTCAGCCAACATACGGATGGGACAGCTTCTGCGGTGGGACTTCACAAAGACCCATCGCAACCGCTGGGCTCAGAGCGTGGTTTCGACACCTGCCGCCAGCTCCACGGGCAGCTGGCCCTGCTAACCACAGGCTTTTTTAAAGAGGAGCAAAGACATCACAGAAAAAAAGATTAATGTAAGGAGCAACAAGAGTTTTTATACCAACATACAGAATCTAGTAAGGCTAATGAGTTTATTAGTGCCTCCCTGCCCCCAAAGCAAACTGCAGACTTCAGAAGAAAAATTTGACTTGCTGTGCAACACCGTAGGCTTAGATTTATGTTAACTGGAAAAAAATCTACTTATTTTATTCTATTATTCTCCCTCCCTTTAGGCAGCTGCACTGGAACAGATCACAGATAAAAGTGTACTGTACCACATTAGATCTTGTTGTGCTCTGCACGCCCTATCTGAGGGATGACTCTTCCAGACCGCGCCGCGCTCGGTGCGTGTCTGCAGCCAGACAGGGGTGTGGGTGGATCGCTGTTAGCTCTTCTTTTCCCTGCTCACAAAAAAGAAAAGTGGTAATTTAGCAAAGATGCAGCGCTGGATTCCCACCCTCCCTGAGGCAGAGAGCGAGGTGGCTGTCGGTCCAGTCTGCATCACTAACAGCTGCTTTGAGGCAAAGGTGGGAAAACCCCAGCGTATGCCAGGAACCCACCCAGCATGGAGCACCTGCGAGGCACCGGAGCAGAAAGCAATACCCACCACCACACCAAGTGCTGCAGCTTGGCTTCCTGGGCGCTACTGCCGTCTAATTAGTCTCTCTAATTAAAGGCACCGGTCGCAGGCAACACTGCTGCCTTGCGAGGCTGCGTGCCCTCCCTGGAGGAATGGACACTGCCTTCTCCAACAGCCAGGGAAAAGGCAGGCTGAGGACATGTAATTTGAGGTTTTGCCTGTGGATTAGCTCGGGAACAGACCGCCAGGCCATAAGGGATTCAGCGCCTGCTGGCTGGGGACTCTGGCTAACAAGATGGACATGGTTGTCTGGTCAGTGCCATGCATGTCTTAACCAACTTCTTAATGTCTGGTTTACGAGCAGGAGAAGGACAGGGTGTCTGCAGGGATCTGCATCCAACCCCCCACCCCGAGGCAGATGGGACCTTCAGCTGGGGTGTCCCATGCTGGGGCACCACTGTGTGTAGGACCCCTGCAGCCTCTGGGGAACACCACACGCGGAGCAGCAGTAACACAGCCTAAGGGCCTTCTCCAAAAGGAGGGTGGCAATCTCCTTGCTGAACAAGTGATAGACATCTGACTAAATAATAACGACGCCAGGGCAACCACTTTGCCCTACTGTCTCCCTTCTGTCTGTACAGCATCTTAATGCCAGCAAAGGCACAGGGCAGCACTACCAACACACAGCATCGACTTCCAGAGCATAAAGCACAGTAATGCTTCCTTCCAGACACCAGGTTTGCCCACCTTGTCCGGGTCAGCTCGGGGAGATAAATGGTTTACTCCTTCCTCCCCGCTCTCCTCTCCCTTACAAGTCTTCTCCGCTTGTGCTGGCCACTGATTTCAAACCCAGGTTTTAGGATAGCTCATTTGCCTCGAAAGTCAAGCAGTGGCAACAGCTGGGATGTGGATGCCCAGGACCTTTCTTTGCCCTCACAGCAGCTTAGATCCCATCTGTAACTGGATCCATCTTATCTGTAACACAGCAAGCAATTCCCTTGCGGTAGCAAAAGCTGAGACCAGTTACCAGACTGTGACAGTCCAGATTTATTAGGCCGTCTGCCACTTGAAATAAATCTTCAGCCTGAGATTTGCAGGTGCTGTAGCAGAGAAAAAGCACTTTTCTTCTGTGCCTCTTTGCTGCCCTGTTTTAAGAATTCAGCAAAACCTCATGCTGCAAATCATCCGCTGTGGCATGAAGTGGCTACTGCTCTCACTTTTCACTCATCCTTCATCACCTGTGCACTGTCTGTAGCGTGGAGTGGCCCAAAAGCTGTGAAGAAGGTGCTCAGCCCCCACCCCATGAAGGATGAGGGCAAAGGGGCTCAGCAGGTTTTGGAGGAAGCAACCTGTTTGGGGAACAAGATTTACCAGGTCCCTGGGACCTCTCCGATCCTGTCAATTCCCGAGAGCAGGGTGTCAGCACAGTATCAAACACATGGTGTGTATCCAACATGGGGCTCTCGCACTGTAACCCGAGGTTACTGAACACCCATACACAACCAAGTTAAAGGTGAGGAATAGAGCAAAATGCTGCAAGGAGCTACAGCTGGAAAGTGTGGGAGCACAGTATCCTTCCCTGTGAGCGCAGGCAGGAGGCAGGGACCGCTGCTCTCACTGATGTTGCCCAGCAAAGCTAAATGCAAAACTGCCCACCGCTGGCACTTGGAGAAGTTGGCACATGGACCTGAACTCCATGGCTTTGCTGAGAGCTTTCCTCTTCCTCGTCTTTCTCCTTTGTCTAATCTGTTCCATAACCTGAGCTAAAGCACCTACAAAGCCCTGGCCCCAGACCCTGTCCATCCCCTACCGAACACTGAAAGTCACTCCATTTCTGTGAAGAATCGGATCACTTCTATTGCCCCAGATGGCAGAATAAAGTGGGAGCTTTTTGGAGCAGCCCTGTACACACCACAGCATTTGATGAAGGACTAAGTTGTTTGGGCAGCAGTATTAATCAGAAAACAAAGGGCACTTGTTAGCATTTTAGGGTGTGATATGGATATTTCGCAGAATATAACGTGAATCTAAGACCATCTCAGGTCACCCAGGGCCCCCACTGCAGCAGGGAGGTGTCAGGAAAGGGGGCAGGGGGGCTCTCGGCACCAGACAAACCCCGAGGGATTTGCTTCAGGGCCACTTTGCTTCTCTTCCTCTGTGCCTTTCCCCTTGGAGAGGTGTTCTCCTCAGTCACCTCATCCAGCGTTGGGGTAACAGAAGGAAAATTGCCAGAGAGACACCTGTGGCAGCCATGTTTAGAACCATAGAATGGCCTGGGTTGGAAGGGGCCTTTCAGATCATCAAGCCCACCCATCAACCTAACGTACAAAAAACATCACTAAACCATGCCTCTAAGCATGGTGTCTACCCATCTGTCAAATACCTCCAGGGATGGCGAATCCACCGCTTCCCTGGGCAGCCTGTTCCGATGCTTGATAAACCTTTCTGTGAAGAAATTTTTCCTAATATCCAACCTGAACGTCCCCTGGTGCAGCTTGAGGCCATTTCCCCTTGTCCTATTGCTGGTGACTTGGGAGATGAGACCGACCCCCACCTCTCTACACCTCCTTTCAGGGAGTTGTAGAGAGCCACAAGGTCTCCCCTCAGCCTCCTCCAGGCTGAACAGCCCCAGCTCCCTCAGCCTCTCCTCAGAAGACTCGTTCTCCAGACCCCTCACCAGCTTCGTTGCGTTCACTCCAGCCCCTCAATGTCTTCCTTGCAGTGAGGGGCCCAAAACTGGACACAGCTCTTGATGTGGGGCCTCAGCAGCACCCAGTACAGGGGGACAGTCACCTCCTTGGCCACCCTGACCCCAATACAGGCCAGGATGCTGCTGGCCCTCTCGGCCACCCCGCTGGCTCACCTTCAGCGGGCTATCAACCAACACCCCCCGGCCCTTTCCAGCCGCTCTTCCCGCACCGCCACAGACCACGGTCCTCCTCAAGGACAGGCCCGGCCCCCTCTCCTCCACCTCTCCTCCCCTCCCCGCCGCCTTGCGCAGTCGCGCAGCGAGGGCTGAGGGAGCCGCCGGAGCCGCCCGGCGCGGCGCGGCCCTCCCCTCCCCTCCCCGCCGCCGCGGCTGGGCAGGGCTGGGCAGGGCAGGGCCGGGGGGCTCGGCGGGGGATGCGGGTCCCGGGCGCAGCATGCTGTGGGGGGTGGGCCTGGCGGCTCCCCGCTCTTGCGTGGCGGACCTGAGCCGCAACCGCAGCCTGTCGCTGGGGTGGTGCGGGGGACCGGAGGAGCCGCCGCCCGCCTTCTATGGGGGGGTGGGGGGAGCGGAGATCGTCGCCTTCCCGCTGGCGGGCGGGGGCGCGGGCGGCACCATGGCGG